TCCATCGCCGGGGGAGGGCAGGGCAGGCCCTGGGCAGGGAACAGAAAGACACAGCCCCTCTCGTCTGGCACCTGCGGTTCAGGGACAAACAGGGAGTTAGCCAGCCCTGCCCCGGACCGCCGAGGCGGTGACCATGGCGTCAAGAGGCAGACCCTGCTCCTCCTCGCTGACCACAGGCGGACGGGGCCGTAACAGGCGTGCAACGCGCTGCCGACACACGGGGCGAGAGAGCCAGGGAAGCCTGCTTCCCGTCCGAGGGAGGACGGAGCTGGAACGTGCCGGGGCAGGAGCACAAGGCCAAGCTCTTGCCCAAATGGTGTGGGGACCAAGAGTCACTCCATGACCCAATACAAGTGTCAGAGCTGATCCCTGCCCGGCCTCAAAACCAGCGCCCAGAGGGCCACACGCAAGGGGGGAGAGCGGAGGTAGCCCAGAGGGCAGAGCTGCCCCCTCCTGCCTACAGCCACCCCCTCGGCTGGCACTCCACCGCAAAAGGACATGCAGAGCCCTCGAGACTGCAGCCCCCTCGTCCCCAGGGGAGTGGTGAAGAAAGGAGTCGTGAAGAGAGGCTACAAGAGGGAAGCCAGGAGGGGCAGGAAGCTCTGCAAGGAGAAAACAAGGCAAACGAAGCAGGAGCAGCTCCAGAGCCGCTGCCCTTCCCGCTCCCACCCCCACCGCCCAGCCGGCGCGGCTGGGGGCCGGGCAGCCGAGCAGCACAGGGCAGCAAACATGATTTATTTCCTTGCAGCAATCGCGCCCTTATCTGGGGCCTGCAAAGGCAGCACCGGAGCCCAGGCAGGCGCTAACGAGATTAGCTCAGGAGGCAGCGAGATAACGAGGGCCACGCTTGGCAAGCACAGCGGCGCAGACGGGCCCTGGGCAGGGCCCAGCAGCACCGTGCCAGGTCACTCAGTGCCGAGCAAAGGCAGCGACAAGGCCCTTTGGACACCGGGGACAGAGGTTGGCGGCAGGGAAGGAGGATCGGGACCCTGGCCCCGGGTGTTCAGCCTCGCTGAAGCCTCCCAGGGCCCAGTTGTGTCTGTCCTGAAAAGGGGACACTGCCCAGCGCAGCTCCCAGGGGCACAGGCAGCCCAGCCGTCGTGCTCCCCCACCAAAGGGCTGCGGGTGGATCCTCAGGCCCCGCTTGGCCACGAAGAGATGGCATGTTCACCCCCTCTGGAACAGGCCGAGGCCGGGGCATCCCCAGGGAGCACTGCCAAGAGCTGCCCCTTGCCCACCGGCTTCCGCAGCGCCAACCCGGCGGGCAGGGCCCAGGTCACGTTTCCTCAGACCCCACATCCAGGGTGTCCCCAGGCCAGCGCAGCGCGTGGGTGACCTGACGTGAGAGATTCAACCAGAGAAGCAGGGACAGCCTGCAACGGACGGACACACGGACACAACGCGCTACCAGGGGGGAAGGCAAAGGGCTGCAAGGGGGAATATCTACCCCCGTCCCCAACAGCTGGGTCTGATCTGGATACTTGCCCCCTGCCTTTCTCCGAAGCATGGAAGCGCAGGCAGGGCTGAAGGCAGCACGGCGGGAGGACGCGCCCAGGCACCGCGGAGGCCGAGGATCCCTCTGAGCCCAGCCAGTGCCCCAGCCCTGCCGGGGGTCACAGCAGCCTGGGGGCTCGGGGGTTTTCCCCAGACCCTGACAGCGCTCCTCAAGCCGGCCTCCCTCCCGTGCACCACACCGGCACATGTCCCTGAGTGCCCGGGACGGGGGGACGCAAACCGGAGCCCAGCGAGTGGCCCGGGGCACGCACAGG